CATCAGATTTAGTCATAAAAATAACATTCTAACTACTTAATCGCCTTAACAATCAACACAACCTCTGCCAATTTCCACCTTATTTTCCATTTTCTAACTAAACTTTCCTAATGTGATTTTCAAGTTACGTCATAAAATTCCAAAGTTTCAAATTCATAACAAAAAGTTCAAATTTCAAAAATCAACTCTTACGATATTTTTCATAAACTAAACTCCAAAAATTACAACAGAAAAATTATATCAGACATAAATTGAAACAGGAAAATTATATCGGACATAAATCCAACCGGCTCCGGAATCCGAATCCGAAAAATTCGGTTTTTCTAAAGATCACAGTAATCGCTTATCAAAAAAATTTATATGACTATTACGACTACTTTTCTGACATTAGTATCGCTGAGTATTGACAGTTGATGTTTTAGCGTCAGATTGTACTGTAACTATACGATTATAGACTGCATTACAGTACTTTATCGTCATGTTATAAATCCCCTTTCTCTAAGGATAGGATTTTGATACTAAGTCAAATTCCTTTACAATTTGAATAGACGATCAAACGCCCTTTCTTTAGATTAGGCAATTGCTGTAGGGCTACTTCTATAGTAATCTATATAATATTTTGTAAAATAATGAAGAAGAAAAGATGGTGACATGATGATTTGGTAGGGTAAAACTTGAAGACACTATCACTTTCTAGGTATTTTCTATAGTAAAATAATACTAGTTACATACTAAAAGCTACAAAGGACTCTACTTTTAGTCCTTTACTACAACTGTAATTTGTAGAAAATTCGCTAATCGTCTACCGTAGCAGCAAAGTCTGCTAGAACGCAGACTAACAGAAGATGCGTAGAAAAGAATGAGTTTATTTCTCTTTTTTTGCCTATTTACAATATGCTCATATACTTACTACAATTTACAAGTAGATTATAGTAACATATCTACAATATCAATTATCATTATGTCTTGGAACAGGATATTCATTGTGTTAAATGTGCTATTATTGCGGTGATACCTTACCGTTAAGATAATGGAATAGTATATTAGTGGATAATAACCATATTTGTAGTGTTTGGAAAAATTTATTGATAAAAAATCTGTGTAATAAGGAACATCTCGGTTCGAGATATCTCTCTTGACGATCTTTCGTATTTGCTTTTTATTTCTCTTATGTAATAATGATAATTATAATAATATTATTATATTCTATTATTTTGCCGTGGGTCCAGCTTCAATCTATCTGGAGTAATAATAATACTTTTGTTACTTGCAAGATAGACGGTTCCTATATAAACGGGAACATTTGAGTTTAGTAGTGTACGTGAAAAAGCTGTAGATGCGTCTATACTAACAAAAGTTCTATCTTTACGATACTTCGATGACTGTATTTAATGTGTAGTAAAAGAATGTTTAAGTCAGTAGTTACTAATAGACATTACTTTACCTTTCTTTATCGCAAAGTATAAATTGGAACAGCTATCTAAGACTAAACTCAAAGATGATAGTTTCAAAGCAGAAATAGATGTCTCCATTTAGTCATCAAATGAGCATGTAGACATACCTAATAATAAGCTGATTATGCGCAAAATAAGGTAGAGTGCTGCTACGCTGATTGCAGATGTAAGGACTGCGGAGAGTATAAAAGCAAGAGATATTAGATTATCTGATTGTTCTTTCTAGAAGTCTTTCAGTAGTTGTATTCAGCTAGAGTAGAGCTGTGTGTAGCTAGTCTTTGTATTTGATCTAATAAAGTTCTAATTTTCTACAACTTTGGAATTTTCGTGATCGGATTTTATCACCGGAGCTATAAGTAAAAAATTATAGCAAAACTTTGTAGAATGGCAAACCATAAACATTAACGGGTATCTTATCACATCATATACACTACTACTTTGTGATATACAAAATGCGATATAAACCCATTGCATTAGCTGTATTATCTAAGACCCAATCTCAACTATTACAGTTTGCTTTCAAGTTGAAATATGGGCTTGTATTTTAATAGTTAAACTACTATATATAGCTTCCAAAAATTACACACGCTAAATTAAGCATGCTAAACCAATTGGGAAATTCTGTTTCGTAGCATTATGTTAAAGAGTTTTTGTATCTAACCTATTACGATTAGACTAATTTTTAAATTATCATCAAGATAAAAACAAAGATCCTATCAATACTCCATTACAATTCTCCTTTTGTAAGGTTTTTTGTATCACAGAAAGATCACTAGAGCTAGGGCCCTGAAATAAGCTGTATTATAGGTGTTATAAAATCTTATTTACTAGGTATGATATCATAGGGCTAGCGTAGCAATAGAATGCTTATAACTGATTGTAAATCATTCTATCCACTAGCAACTATTAATGTTACTTTTGTGTAGCTGTTGTAACATAGGTTCTGTAATAGGTTCTGTAAGATAACGTATCTAGAAATGTGTTCATATTAAATTATCTATGACGTTTTACATGCTTTTAATAGACAATTGCTTAGTTTTTTAATATCTACAAACTGACAATTAATATTTATGTAGATTTACTATAAATTGGCTGACTTTTTCAATAATGCTTGGCCTCAGCTTTGTCTAACGAGAGACTAGTGGCGCTGTTGTTCCTCCTATCGATAGCAGATCGCTCGAATTTAAAGTTATAGTGTCAGGGAGGATAACCCCGACAGAAGGTTCGTAGTTGTAGATTTCTATAATAGTTATATTTTTCCTGTGCATAACTTTCGGTTTGCAATAATAGCACATTCACCAAAGCATAAAATTTGCAGCAAAGACCTGAGTGGACTAGTGGTATCAAGAATATTACATTTAAACGTTAGAATAGTCGAGTACTGTCAATGAACAGTTTTAGAAACGATAGTTGTAGCCTTAAGTGAGAATACAAGATGCCTCGATAGGTGGCATCAAAGTCCCTACAAGCACAACAGAAGCATATAAAGATTTTATTGATGTGCACTAGTTTAAATTTTATCGGTAGACTAGGTTTAAGAAGGAGACGAGAACATCACACACGTAAAATTTTTATATGAGAGCTTCAAAATTGAAAGAACGAAGTTTATTAGCAAGAGAATCACGATTCAAATTGATTTCAATGCCGTTACACGTATATCAATGCTAACTTTATATTATTACTGGGATATGTATTTATCAGGTACCAGACGATAAATGTAATTAAATGTTCCTATCATAGACTCTTGAAATTAATTAAGGCAGCAAAAAATTACTCGCAAGCAATACATTCATTTCTATGTTTTTTTGGAAATTACGAACTTATCGGGGAAGTTACAAGAGCTTTCCAGGTCATTCATCACTGACCTTATCCTACGCTGACTGAACAATATTAGCCGAAAGGTAAAGGACAATACTTACTTTCTAAAATTATTATAGTAAAATTACTATGATAAATACAACCGTTTACGGAACAGAAATCTACCAGTGTATTCAGACATTGGTCAAATATCCATAACACTATAGATTTAATGAGCTACTCTCATTGTTAAAGCTATATTTAAAAAAAGCACAAACTCGAGTCACAAGTTACTTTCATCATTCTTACTGAGTTCGATTTTCTATTTTAATTTTCAGGCTATTATGTCATCAGGGATTTATTATTGGGAATGATTAATTCACACTATTCGGTACACTTAGTGATGAGTAGGCTATGAAATCCTTTTAGTCACCACTAGTAATGGCCCATAGATCAGCTAAAATTTGCTTTGGTTCTCTATTTTCCTGTAATTGATCATCGATGGCATCTTTGACAATACGTAACTAAAAATTTGATAAATGTTTTACTAGATTAATGAACATCAAAGAATCTATTATAGTTTCGTAATATTGTTGGCATTTACATCAATCACTATATGTCAATACAGCTAGTTATGCACAGACATACGAGTATAATATAACAGTTTACGATAGTGATTACTGTTTTACTACCTTACAATATGCTTGTGTTACTCAAGGTTTAGTTATATCATTACTGCTTTCGCTAAGCACTTGTCGCTAGAAGTCAACTACGTACAGTTAATGCAGTTTATTAAAGTAGATACTTACTTTTTCGTTTACCGATCTCCAAGATTCAATACCTTCGCTAGCTTGCATCACTTTATCTGGTTGCAATTGGCTCTCATTGATTTGATCGATTTGCGTTTGGCAGTATGAACTTAATTCATTGCACAATAATGCAAAGTCAGAAATATCTGTTTTCATTAATTGACGGTATCGATTTCTGTACTTTTCATGAAGATCGTTTTTAAATATCGTCGTATTTGAAAATTTGCCTAATAAGGCGGTAATCGGTTCCTAGATATATAAATTTAAACAAGTAATAAGTTATCAGTTATATCATAACTTTTCGATAAAGGATAGATAGTACCGATATAAATAGTAATAGAAATTCGACTAGTTCGTAATAAGGATGAAATTCGAATGACCAGAATTGTTCTCTGAAATTTATTGACTACAAATAATTTTTAGTAGCGATACAGTATTTCTGCATTGTATTTGAGAGGAAAGCGATATTCATGAATCTATAAATTTCTAATTCTAAATTTATTTTATAAGTAGATTAATCATAGTAAGAATTATTTAATGACCCATTCTTATATTGATTAATACCATTGGCATAGACTACACTCAAGTAAATCAATGAAGATATTAGTTTTGTAGGCAAACCATGCACAAATTATAGGCATGGTTAAAATAAACTAATAGAACTTAAATATTTCAGAATTGTTGTATTATCGTTAGAATATCTGTCTTTAAATATGCTATTACGTACCTTCGGCGAAATAAGTAGAATAACAGCATCGGTATTTATTGATCCATGGACTATATTATTCAGGTGCAAAGATTGAATTGCTTGTATAATATTCATACTAATTTGCAGAATCCGATGTGATGTCAGGTAATCGGATTGCAAACGGATGGAATTGCTCAGAAGCATAATGTCATTGGCGTCTGCTGTAAAACAAGTTATACTGCGAAAAAAGGATATATCTTGTAAATATACCTGTATAAATACAGAATGTACATACCTTGTGAAAGCTAAAAAAACACGACCTACAATTTATCCGCAAATAGCTTCTTGCCACCATCTATTTCGATTCTACATTCATTTCCTTTACAGTACCACAAACAACCCATAACATTCTTTAATTTACAGTCTTTTGATTTGATGTATGTATAAAATGATATCTCTTTTTCCCAAGGTAAGTTATCTTTTGCGTTATAAAGCTGCAGCCACCCCAAATTATTCACTCCATAATTATGAGGTAATTCGACTTTAATGTAAACCTTGTATCAAAGTTAAATATTCGTAAGAGCTTTTCGCGAATCTCACTTAACATAATTGTTCTATACTACAGGTGTGTCACAAACCATCTTCGTGACAAGGACAACGTAAAACAAATCTCTAAATTACTATAGTCTCCGGGATTCAGTATCCCTACTTACAAGAATTAAGACGCCTTTGATTCTACGTTAAACTCAACTAGATAATTGAGAACTGCTTTATTCAACTATTTGACGGGCTTATATACCCTTCTACAGCAGCTAACATTCACAAGTCATCTTATAAAAATATTTGGGTGAGAACATCTACTAACTAGTTTTTCACAGTCGGACTACAATATGTTCATCCACAGAATCATTTCTGTACACATTACAGCACAGCATTAAATTTACTGTAACACATTTATAATTAGAGTAATTCCTATTGTAAGGAACTAGATGTAATATATTATTACTACATTATATTAACCAAATTTAGATAGCTATTTCTTCACGGTAGTTCGTACCGTGACACGGTGATAGATAATATTTATCACAGTAAATAAATGATATGTCTATACCGTTTAAAAATCTTAGCAAAATATAACGTAATTTAATAATTTTAGCTATTGTGCTAGCCACGTAAACGTTAGACTAATTGGATTTATAATTCATTAATTAATTAATTTATAAGAAATTATTTCTTACTGATGAAATTGCATCTCCCTTAAATATTATTATAGTGTACTCTAGAATTTACGTCATAAAAAAGACCTAGTTATGCCATGCAATCGCCTTATGCACTTGTTTCGCTCATTGCAAGAATATCATAACGATACTTTCGATCTAACAATAGTCATTATACGGAGTAAAGTACAGTAAATGCTATTGATCCAGTTTAGATTGTGCAACAGTTAAAGCGAGTATTGGACATAAGAAGTTTATGATTGTGTTGGATATTGCTGAAAGATTTTAAAATTAGCCCTGCCAAGCCAAGATAGTTGATAATTTTCAATAAAGATAACAAATCTTATAAAAAGGATTACCTTAGATAGTTCAGGGTTACTGGAGAGTGCAATGACAAGTGATGGATGAATCGAGCCGGTATAAATATCTAGATGGAAATTGCCTTTGTGTTATTTAAATAAAGCATACACATCATCGAAACAACGCGTAAATATAATCGTTATGTACTGCTTACTTGTTGTTAAGATATATGTTACTACTTAACGGTTAAAGAACTCTCATTTAATAAGGTATCAGAGTACATTAATCACTTTAATTTAGAAATAAGCCTTAACTCACTCCCTTGTAGTTGACTGCCTTGATTTGACTTACGAATTGATCGAAAGAATGTTAAACATGAACAGCAATTTAACTTTCCAATAGCTAAGTTAATGTAATCGATAAAAGTAGTTGTAAAGAGCGTATAAATGATCGGATTAATACATGAATTTAGTGGCAATGATAGCACAGCGATAAATGGTAGTGAATGCGTGTCTAATCCAAAACCAAAACCTCGAATTAATACTATATATAATGGTAGCCAACATATTAAATCCGTTGCTACGATAGTAATCATTTTAGCGCGAATAATTTTATCATTCTTTGATAAACGTCTATGAGCTTCTTTACGTGAATTTGCTAATGTCGATAGAATTGCGACATACATGATTGCAATAAAAATCCAAACGACGAAGGTTAATCCAGCATAACATAATAACCATGTTAATAAATATGGGTTATTAAAATTACCAGGTAAGCATGCACTATTGCTAGAATATAGACGATTAATTGACGGTTGATTAATACTATAAATAATTGGTAATCCAACAAATGCGATTGATATTAACCAAAGAATCACCAATGCTAGGGTAGTAGTTTTAGCAGATAAGCGATAATTTTGAAAAGGATAAACTAGGTGCAGATAACGATCAAGAGTTATTAGAAAGAGCACAAATGTCGACATTAAGCTCGATAATGAGATACAAAACGAGGCCGTTAGACATGGTACACTACGTAGCCATTCTTGAAAAATTTCATAATAACGGTTTGCATAATATACATTGGCTGATGCTATGATAATTAGGTAGATACCCATGATAAAATCCGCAGCCGATAAGTTAATTAATAACATTTCTACTATTCCAAGTTTTTTAGAAGATTTTTTTTGAGAATGCCACCTTATAGAAACTGTGTTACCAACGACTGAAATTATACCAATTACCCAGATAAATACACGCAATAAATCATGCGCCAAAATATTATAGCACGTAGATAGGCTAAATTGATTCGGATTTGGTCTGCATACAATTACTGAGGATGGCGCAACGCAACATAAGTATTCACGTGTCGAATGTCTATAGTTAATAGATGAAGGACAATTTAAATTAGAAGGATATAGGTACTTCAATGCTATATTACCGGTGACAAAACGTTTTATAGATTAAATAAATTATTAAAATCTATGAATTAAAAATAGAATATATTGATTTAAATATCCATTTAGAAATAATTAATTGCGTGAACTCAACATCTAGCATAAGCTGATGAATAGACTTCCAGCAAGTAGAGAGTAGCACTAACTTTCAGGGAAATTTATGCTCATGGTTTTGTTATAGCATCTAGGGGAAAATATGGGAATTTTTACTTTCCATGCTATAGTGCTAATACATTCGTAAAGTGGTTTTGTGCTAAAATACGTAAGTAAATTTATTCTGTTTTAAATATTTTATTTAGCATATAACTACTTCAAAATACACCATGAAATCGATGCCCTGTCTTATCATTATTTTAATTTATTAATAGATAAATTTTTAGATGCAGGTGTTACAGAGTAACTTTTGCGTAACTGTCGTAACATAGATTCCATTAAAAATTCATCTAGAAATGTATTTACATCAATTTGTCTATGACTTTTACATATTTTAATAGATAGCTACGTAGCTTTATAGTATTATCTATAAACTGATAATTGATGTTTATGTCGATTACTATAAATTGAACGATTTTTCAACAAAGTTTGGGTTCAGTATGTCTAATACAGACAAGTTGCGCTATTGTTCCTCTTGACGATAGAAGATCGTCAATACTTAGTTATACTGTAAGTAAATTTCAGGGAGGGCAAACCTGATATTAGACTCGTAGTATAATTCCTATAACAGGGCAACATTTTTCCTTGTTGCAAATTTCTATTTGTAACGGCATAACTTAGCGAAATAGACAAAATTTGATTGCAGAGATGACTAGTAGTAACGTAATATAGTATACCGTACGAGATAGACCATAATTAAATAGTCTCGAAGCAATAGGTTTGCATCGAAAATGTTACATAACTTGAAAAAATAATAGGTAATACATAATTATGACTGTAGAACATACTTATCTAATAAGATTTCATAAAATCTTGTGATCTTGAATTTTGTAATTACTTTAGATTAGACTTATAATTAAGATATGATAAACCTTTATTTACGTGGCCTTTACACTAACGTTTCTAGCTGTAAAACGTTCTCAAAAAATTTAGATCCGGCTTAGCCTAATTAGAGAAACCTCTCAAATTCTTATAATTGTAATATACTTGTAATTCAAATATGGAATGTCAACAATGTACACCGAGTAATGAATTATAACGTGTAATAAATAAAAATAAAGTAATAAGAAATCTTGAAATCGTATTTGCTATGCTTGAAATGTAATGTAAACCAAGTATCTTATCTGAGTAAGGATTTGAGTAATAACGTTTATTTAGAGTCTATACTGAGTAATACATAATATACAATGTTGCAGATCTCCGGGCTCAGGACCTACTTTTAGAAGACTAGCGAATTTTCTCATATACTGTATTTGTTTACATCGCGAGGATCGTAAACAATAACAATCGTAGCCGATCTTAATTCTAGAATAGGTTTTTGTGTCACGGTGAAATCTATATGATTTACTATAGTTTCCGTAGTCAACTTATTTATCTTATCTTAATATGAGTATTGCTTCATAAACATCGCACTAAATTTAACAAAGAAGTAAATATATGATCACATTAACTCTATTGCATAAACAACTAGTATTGATATAAATTACATAGCCCGCATACGTACTTTCATTTGCAAGATGCAAGGCTAGTGAACATATCTCCAAGTCTAATAACACTAAGCTACTTCTTTACTTGTACATGAATGAACGTACAAAAATCTTAAATGTATTCTATGTCAAACAACTAAATGAAAACATCTTCTCTTTAAGTCATCCCTCTGTCATTGATGTTATATCGAACTACATAAAAATAGGAGATTTTAGTATATATGTGTACTTACATGCTTCGAATGCCTGCTACACCACCGAAAGAGCGGTAATTAAAACTTATTAACGGATTATCTTTCAAAGCCCTGCGAAAGAATCATGAAAACGAAATAAGAATTTAATTTTTACTACTAGCAGTATCTCAGATACTGTGGATATCTGAAATCTCCTTTACTTCTTATGCCAATTTTAATTATCTTTTGAGATCTAGCCTTAATTTTAATTGTTGTACATGTAATTAAAATTAGTCATCACAGTTCGTAAAATTGTACTTACAGGTTATTCAGGTCAGGCATACTCCAAAAACAATAGCTATCTAACTTTTCGATGTTATTGCTATTGAGATTTCTATTAATTTTAAAATTCAGTTATTATTTCATGTTCATAGAATGTATCTTTCAAATATTTCATAGGCGTTAATAATTATAATGTATCAAACATTGTAAAAATCTAATATTAGCTTAAAATTAACCATGAATTAGGCATAAAATTAAATAGTTGCCTAGGCTATCAACAAAATATAAGACACTAGTTGTTACAAGCTGACATTGGTAACGAGAAAAGTAAAAATATTAGAAAAAATTACACACCAAAACTCTACTGTCGGGTTAGTACTCTCCTACGTCTACCACAGTAAAGCTCTTATCATAATGACAATCTTTATCCTAAGCAGGACATAATAAACTGCATATCTCTTCTAGACTAAACTGATACCTATTTTATTAAGGCTAGTTAATTTATATTGTAGTCGCATAAGCATCAGTTATCAGTATAAGATAATATTACAGAATTATGTGCCTGTTCGGTATATAAAAGACGTATTAGATATCCTAAATAAATTATATATCACCAGTATATTTCTGCATACTTTATATCGTCATAACTACAAACTGGCTACTATTACTCAGTAAACATGTATATTGTAGCCGATGGCGAAACTTCGAAATCACACAAGTTCTAATATCATTCATGAATTATTAAGAACTTAAAAGGAGAAACTTTACTATATGTGTAAGGGTGTAGTATATTTCTGGGCATATGTGGATCATTTATAGACAACTTATGGATAACATTTTACTGTAAACTGTACAATTTTTGAAATCTGCTAATTTTCATCACGTGTAAACAAGAAATGGAGCTAAATTGCAGTTCTTAATCTTCTTTATCAGGTATATGAAGTTGAATACTAACAGATAGCGTATTTTTGAAAAGGCAGTTGAAGACAGAAATTTTGGACAAATTTCGGAGATATTATTTTTGCTGAGGAACCTATAATTAAGACATCGATAAAAGTTTAAACTTTTAACGAGTTAATTAAATCTAAAAACAGTAGTGCTATATTAAAAATTTAACATTTTCAAGTATCTTAGAAGCACACTGTCTCAAATAGTAAAGGGTATACTAAATAGGTTAAACATTTATGTGCATTTATTACTAGTATGAGTCACTATTACCGTTTAGTATATATTTCAGAAACACAGATAAATTAAATAGCTTTTTACCCATAGCAATATTTTTAGTATTGTTTAAGTTATCAACGTAAATGCGTCTGTATTCTTATTAATTATTTATTTTCACTAACAATTGTATTAGATTTGGAGTTAAAGTTATTAGCGTCACATATCCCTGATTTCCCATATTATTTCGATCCATTACGCTAAATATTTCAGTAAAATTTAAAATTAAGCATGTATATTTAATGCATCCAGAAGACATACGTAGATTTAGAAGTATAGATACTGGTAATATTAGAATCTTTTAGACTACAGCAAATTTACATTTAAAATAGATTTGATAGACACTTATTATAGCATAGTCATCAAAATTTAACAAGATAATAGACGAAGGTAACACGAAGATTTGACTGCTAGCTAGTTTGATGTTCTTACAGTTTCTTAAGGCTACGAAGTATCGGCGCCGATGATGCATGAATGGAGCTTATATCATTATCATTTAAATATCTGATGTTTTAAGCAGAAGCAAATGATTATATAGCATAATTATTCAAAAGATATACGTAGATTACAACATTACTAGCCTTAACAATGTAGCTCACGGTACTCTATAGCTTATTTTGTAACTTATTCGTAAAATGCGCTACTATACAGTATAATAATTGTATCCGTAATCGTTTCATCACTTAGCAAATCGCGCAGTCGATTCCATCAAATGTTAAAGTAAAGCATAATCTACGGAAAATTAACAATTATATTTGATAGTTGAAAAATAATCGACGGTACGTAAGTCCCCGAATCGCCCGAATTATAGCTAACTTAATAAATTAGCTGTTAGGACGGTGTTAACTTACCGCTAGGATTATTTAATAGTACAGTAGTAGCTAATATGGAAAATATCTAGATTTGTAGTGCTAGGTAAGATAAGTGATGCCATAACGTGGATATTATTTGAGATACTTTATTACATGACTGATATTGATTGTTATTATGTGTAGACAGTAGTAAGATGATTCAAGATCCTGCTAATGATAGTTGAATTAGACAACATAAATGTTTAGATTAAGATTAGATATGAGTAATAGGTTAAAAATATTTACTAATACAAAAGCTATATAAGGAATATCTCGGTTCGAGATATCTCTCTTACTCCCAACTCTCCCACTCGGTTTTTATACTCTTTCTCTAACGGATTGTACGGTGAAGTATCTGTACACAATCTAACAGTTTGAAAGATACCTACGTCTTTACCTACATAAAGACTCTTGTTTTAGACATTTTGGTGCTTTAACACATACTGTACAGTGTAACGTATTTTCTTCACTTTACATTATCAATATCACAACAAAGCGGCTTTAATTCTAATATTAACCTATGAGAGCATACCGTATTTAGTTTACAGGGATATCTACGATTGGTAACGCTAAATAGTAGCCTCGAAAAGCATTTTACAGTAGGTTACTAAAGGGTTTGTAGCAAACTGTGAAAATAATTTTCATTTACAGATTTTGGATTTCCTTAGAAATCATAGAAGCGTTTATGAAATCCTTTAATCGAAGACCGTCTAGATATCTAAAATAAAAGCAAACCTTAAGTAGACGATTAAATGCTAGATAAATTTGTTAATGAAAAGATAGCACATACTGAGTATCAGTAAGCAAAGTGAGGTAGACTATCTTATTACTAATCTTGGTTTTAATAATTCAAGCGAACGATTACTTACAGACTAGTAAGATCTGTACCCAGTGACGCAATGAAATTAACTTTTTTAGGAGAAAGTTTGCTAAAGCCTAAGCCCCTTATAAATGACACGGATAAGGTATGGAATTAAGAAGGTAGAAATTATAGTGCAACAATCAGGCTATTTGCAAGATGAAATTTTTGAATTTTAAAATATACAGCTAATCCGGAATATAAATAAGTTATCATTTGTAAATTTAGCAAACAAACGTGTAATCATTAAGTACTAACAAGTTCTGAAATGCCATATTTTTGAAAAGAGATTCATCGATGTCCGATAAATCATTGTTATCTAGATATCTAAATTAGTCGTAGATTTTAATAATTCCATTGCGTTAATTTCATTTTGCTAATTTTTAAAATCGGATAAAACTAGAAAATTTCAATTATGACCTTCATTAGGCTAAAGAATATGATAAATACTTTAAGTTAATCAGAACGTAGATATGACTAGCTTTAATTATAGTATCAAACGACGATTTACAAGCTTAAAGTCTCACCACGGTAATAAAATTATCAATTATACGTACGTGTAAATTCTCCGACTACTCTGCCATTGTATAAGATATTTGTCGATAACTATTTACTTTATGTTTTATACCATACTTACAGGGCTCTTAATCCTGATAACTGTTGAAATGATGATCCCTTGAATGCTGAAGCACTGAGATTGCAAAACCTTAAATATCTAATTGAAAAACATTAAAATATAAATGAAAGTTGCTAAACAACCTAGCTATACACAACACATGTTACTAAATTCTACATAGGATTCAGTTGTCTATGTCCTTGCATTGTTGAAATACGATCAATGCGATATTTGATGAAGTTCAGTTATCAAATTAAGAATAAACTGTTTCCTGAGCTTGTGTTATTACTATCGATTTGTAACTATTCAATCGTTAAAAACCGAGTATTTTACGGTTTGCCTTATTTAGCTATAAACAAGATGAAATTCTGTACATTTAATTTTTATTTTATTTTTTCCTAGAATATTTACAGAGCAAAGAGTGGTTTCAAATTCAGAAAGAGTTTGAAGTTTAACGTTCGTAAATTTCGGCAATAGTCTATTTGTCTACAAAATACATCACGATCGATAGAATAAGCTTATAAAAACGTAGTATTTATTACATTTATGGTATTATTATCACATTAAAGTACTTGAAAATTCATCTTACAGGTACTTTAGTCGATTTAATCCATAGAATGCTTGTTGATTTAGATACTGCAATCTCTCATTCCCAAGCCACCTAATTATATTGATATTCATTATGCCTGTACAATCACTTTCTTTATTACACTTTAAAACCAAGTGACAGTAAAGTAATGTTATAAAGACTGTAGACTTTCTTATAAACTCATATTCAGATAGTTGAACAGTTAATAAATAATTTTCCATTTTATATTAATTAAATATGTCTATTATTTCCTTACAGGGTCTCTAGATCTTGTAAATTTACAAAGACAAAGTCAGGAACTGATTCTATTCTGTTTAAAGTCAAATTTCTATCATAAGAATCGAAAAATAATTAGACTTGCTGAAAAGCTGCGATACCAAACGAACAATAATTAAAATCTAATAAATTTTAAAATAGATATGACCAAAAAAGAATTCTATAATAATGTCTTATGTACATTTTAAAATTATTTCGAGTTTCGAAATTTTAATAATAAATTACAATTTATTAGATATTCAATGCTATAACTATAGTTGTGATAATAAAGTTTTAGGCAAGAATTCAAAGAGTATTTAATGTATTTAATTTTCACCTACAGAGAAGTTAAGTAAGGAATATTTGCAAATAAAGAAGCAGTAATCCTTGTCAGTCGGTTTCTAGATAAATCTCTTATGAGTAAATAATCACAAATTGACAATGTTGTCAGTATCTACTCAATGATGGGTTTCATCGTATATTAGTGTATTTCTATGTAATAGTATTATTACAAGTTCTGCAGCACTGCTAGACTCCCAAAAGCGTTTTCATCAACAAAACTAATCTTGTTTAAGGCCAAATCCCTAAAACAAAGTAACAGAAATAAGCATTTTAGATCATCCTATTATCAATGTCGGTTCTAGAAATCGAGCGTTTTCTATAATAGTA